TATATTTCAGAAAGGGTTTTTCTTAAACGAGAGGTCAGGTGAACCAACAATGAAAGTATGGTGCTAACACATATTGTAATGTGCCTGGAAGAGTATTCAGCCATGGCTCTTTATGCATGTGCCAGTCAAGGTGAACCTTTCCCTCTGTATTAACTGAAACAAAACAACACTTTCTTTACGTGGGCCAAGATTTTGCCATAAAATGCTACCATTCAGCTAATGCATGCTGATTCTTCTGTTAAAGATTTACCACGGACTCTAAGTGCTTTCTGTAATGATTACAGAAAGAGATTTTGAGATTAAATATTATTAAAATAAAAGTTAAAATAATATTTTGAGAATGAAGTCAGAATGTTGAGATTTAAGTTGTCATTTCAAATCAAACACTGCCACAGCTGCTACGCTCTACAACTTGCATAGTCAAAATTGTGTTTTAGCTTTTGTCTTTTGAGTTTCATCTCAAGATTTTGACTTTATTCTCAAAATTAACAGTAATGTTTCTGTTCTTAATGTGGCCCTAATATGCCATCTATAGTCCCTTTGGTCAAAATCGTGATAAAAATGCTTAACCATTTTTTTGTGAGAAATTTGTGAGTATTGAGATGTTCTTTGGTTGTAGACATTACTGCTATCAGTGAATGTCCGTATTCTAACCTGCTTACAGTGGGTAAAGTGTGCTTTTACACCCACAATCCAGAGGAAAATCAAAGTCATGGCTCTCTTTTGACTTTGTGTTACATTAATTTGAATGTTTATTGGAAATTGGAAATCTGTGAGCACCATTTTTATTTTTTCAAAAGCGGTGTGTAAGCAAGCGTAGTTGCACACATAACACATAGCTAGAACTGGATTTTATAACAGCTTACAAGGGGTATAAATTAATCTTTTTATAGTGACATTTTTTTAGAAATAAAATCCCCACTTTTTTTCAGTGTTTTCCTCTTCTATGCCAGTGCAAACATGTACGCATATGACCTGATGCAGTGTCCAGTTTATACCCTGCAACTCGTCCAGTGTCAGCTGGGATAGTCATACTTCTGGGGCAAATGGACTGAAAATTGTTTTAAAAAATATTTAAGGTAAAATTGGCCTTGTAGTAGTTGTGGCTGTCCTGTAAACAGTTTTACTCTATGATTATTTATATTAATTTGTTAACAGTGTGAAAGAGATTTGGATTGTAATACTATGAGTGACCACAAGTTTAAGTTGGCAGTGAAGCTGTCACAATTCAGGAAATTGTTTTATATTATCACCCTTTTTTTTTTAAAATTACCTCTTAAGATGAGGGAAATGTCCTCTTCATTGCCAGGGGTTGGTTGTCTGATTGGACCAAAGCACCAAATTCACATTACTTGCAGATGCCCATGTGCTATCCTGTCCCCCAGCATTGCTGCTTATCCACAGTTTGTTTCAGGGACAGACTCTAATCCACTACCCAAAGTTCTTTCTAAAGCAACCAGACTTATGCCCTGTTGAATTATGGTGTGCCTACACCCTGACATTGACACCACTGACTCCCTGACCAATTCTATGAGAAGACAGCAAAGGCAAATCCGAAGGAAACATCACAAATAATAAGTGGAGATATAAAAATGATAAAAGTCTTTGTTTATTGCCGTCATTCACCTGAGCTGTGTTGGATCTTAGAGATTCCTCTGGATCTTTAGAAGTGATCTATGGATCCAGTTTCATTTCATTTCAAGCTGAGTTAGTTAATTCCATGAGCAAGTCCCATTAAAGAGATTAACCTTTAAGTTTACTTTTGTCGGGAAAAAACAAAGGGCAATAAGCTATTTTACTCTAATCCATTCAGTTCTTTAGTAAAGAATTTTTAAATGAAAAATTAAAAAAATACATCAGCCTCCACCCTTAAATGGGATGTGAGCATATGAAGAAAAGATGCTCTTAATGCCACAAGGTGTCGCTATGGATTACAGCTCATTATATCCAGGGGTGAATGCCTCTTCAGTTGGGCCTCAATTCGGGAAATAAGAACCATTAACCAGTCATCTACCTCACAGCTTCTCCCAGTATTTATGTTGCAGTCTCTTCTCATCAGCAGTTCTTTTGCCTCTCTATCTTCCAGCGCCCTTTTTTCTCCTCGTACTTTAACCATCATTGTTTTTCCATCAAGCACTGCTGAAAGAGCCAACAGGGAGAGAGGGAGAGAGAGAAAAGAAATGGTTGAGAGGAATAAGTAACACAGCAGTGCCCTGACCTCCGGGCCTCTCTGGTCACACTGGTGGGCGTCATATACTCGAAAGTTTACTCTTACCATGGAGACAAAATGAAAACAAACCGAGCACTGACGAAGTGAGAAAGTAACATTCTGAAACCTTCTCAGGCTGCATGAGGTGTTTTTCTACTGTCTGACATGCTCTTTGGAAAAACAGATAAGCACTGAACCTACCGCTTGACCGTCTGTCTGTACATCTGTATGTCTCTCAGTCTATCATATGAGCCAGAGTCATATATAGAGACTTCTCCTAGTTTGGCCAACTGCAGCATTGAACTCCATTCAGCTGCTTGACCATCCGCCTCTCATAATCACAGTTGGGACTCCAGTAGGTGTTGCAGTGAACATGAAGCTTTTTCTTTGCCGATCTCATTCGGCCAAACTGTCTCTGTATAAGGCTCTGTCTGCCTCTGCCTGTCAGTATATTTGCATTAAATTGTCTCTCTTTCTTTTGAGCTCATGCTGCTTCTTTTCCTCTGTTTGGGCGTTGGAGATGGGTGCATGGACCAACTGCTATGGCAAAGGAATGTGTTTATGCACGCATACACCACCTTGAAGTGCACTCGTAAAACTCACTTGTGCGTGTGTTTGTGTGCGAGCATGTGTGTGAGAGAGAGGGAGAGACAGAAAGAGAGTGTAAGTGACAAAGATCTGATTAAGCATGACCTGACTGTCTCTCTCTGTGGCAGGGCTGACACTCAAGCTTCACTCTTTTGTTACTAGTAATCTAGCTAATCACATAGTGTTCTAACCTGCTGATTCTTCATGATGTCACTTTTCTGTTTTGCAAGATTTGTTATTTTACATCCCGCAGCAACTTCATCGTCATCATTCTTGTCACTCTGCTCTCCTGTCTATCACTGCTGCATGGCACACAGAACACTTTGCACATGTGCATGAGCACACGTGTCGGGGTGCTGACTGAATGACTCACAGTTTGGCTGTGTTTATAAAGCAGCTCTCTTTAACAAACAGCCCCCATGACTGACAGCTGCCCGATGCATGCGGAATTCAGACTCCAAACTGCACGATGTGGAGATAACTCTGGTCCACTCTGCTGCATGCATGTATTATTTATGTGTGTATGTGTGTTTGGTCACTGCTATAGGTTCTTGCAAAATTCTTCTTTTATTGTATATTGAATTAACACACTCACCATTCCTGCTTCTTTCTCCATTTGTGCCTATCAAACACCTTCATCTGTGTGTGCATGCCTGTGATCCTGTGTGCTGAGGTATGAGTGTTTTTCCCATGCATAATGTATCACCAGCCCAACAGATTGCACACACACAAACACAGCCATATAGACACATATGCCAAGTGTGTGATGTAAAGTTTCTGCAGCTTTTGTGTTTTTTGTGATGTGGCTACGGAATGTTTTTGTCTTGTAAGGTGTGACCGATGTGTGAGAACTGACAGAAACATGTCATCAGCCAACTCATTTTGAAACTATTTATTTTTCACTTTTGTGTGTTGGAGACACACAGGATCAGGTGGATGTCTAGCTGACGCTAAATTAATCCAGATATGATGTTACCCCAGTATAATTAATCTTCAAATGGACAATTGTCAGACAGATTGCTATTAAATTAGTGCAGTGCCATGGTTTGGATGGTGATATAGTTAAAAACTTTAAACAAGATCTATTCTGCTTATTTAACAATGTGGTGTAGCTTCTGAAAAATGTGTTTCTATGCAGAACGGATCATACATGCAGGCAACACAAAGGACTTAGGTGGTTATTACATGATATGGTGATATATCTCAATTAAATGAAATGCACCAATTTATTTTCAAGATGACCTATTCTGCTGTCTTATAACAACCTCTCAGGTCATAGAGGTCCTGTCTGAAAGAAACTCGTCCTTTAACACTAGCCTCACTTTAAGCCAACTTTCTTTTGATTGGCCTCCCTTCATAAACAACAGGTCTAAGAAACAGCTAGAAGAGACTTCTGTGCTCATAGCCAGGGCTGTTTTTGTCTATGTTAGGGATGTCCACTTTCAATGACATCATGCAGATCCAGGTGTAGAAATAAACTACCTAAAACAACATCTATCTAAACAAAGTTATAAATATATTTATTTAATCCATGTTTTCCTTTCCATGGCTATTTGTCAACCTTCTTCCATACCAGTCAAATGATTATATCAATTTGTGCTCTCACGTCATCTTTATAGCATTTTCTTAACTTGCTTCTTACCTGAATCCATGCCATAATATAAATATTAAAAACATAGGTCTTACAGTATTTATGCTGCTTTTAAGAATACAGTGTTAAAATCTATGACATCAAGGGGCTTAGGGCATGAAGAAGTTGGGTTTGATCACTCTGGGCAATTAAAGATGCATGATTCAAAAAGGCATCTGTGGGGCAGAGCGAAAAGAGCTAAGTAGGGATTTGAACTAATTTGTCAAGTTGTTCAGATGACACATACTATTTAGCACCTTAAAGCCTAAAATATAATATCACTTATTCATCATTTATTAAATGCTTTTATTGTGTTTTTACTTAAATTCTAAATGTAATTCATGTAAAATAAATAAATTCATTTTCTTTTAAAAGCTACTGCTCCGATGGGGATTTTAAACAGGATAAATCAAGAGCAGAAGATCAGAATCAAGACCTAGCTAACAGTGTGCTAGCTGTACATTTATATTTAGCAGACTGACACAGGAAGGGTATCAGTTCAGATTTGTGTATTTGAGCCTTTTAAAAATCTTTTTCAAAATCTTTCTTCATACTAAGAGTTTGATGTTTAGGTTTAGCTTAACTTAAGTAACAAAAAAACAAAAAAAAAGCAAGAGATATAGCGCTAGCCTAACCATATCCAAAGTTAAGAGAATGAACTTACCATACAATTAAGGGTTTCTTATCCTTGAAAATAATATTGATGTGTCGATTAGAATGATTGATATCATTCTGAAGAGCACTAGTCACTTGCAGTGTCAAAACACCTTAAATCTTAGTAAAAAAAAATGAAGCATATTTTATCATTTCAAAATATTATTTTACTTGTACTCTGTGTAAAAAGTGGAAGATTGATGTGCCTTTGTCCTTTGTCCTGAGCGAGTCCTAATAATTTCAGCTTCCACAGCAGCTCTTGGTCAAAAATTTAACTGACCATTAGAAGTTACATTGCCTTTATTTTAACTGCAGCCACCTGGCCCTGAGTGTCTGCTTGTCTCTCACTCTGTTTGTCTGCTGGAGGACACAAGTGGGTCTGTCTTTGGGGTCCCATGTCTCCTTTTTCTCTTCTTTTTCTCTGACTTTCTCCTCTGTCTTTTTTGTGGTCTCTCCCTGATCTCTTTTCTTCTGGGCAGATGCGAGTGGTGAAAGCATTCCGTAGTTCACTGTACGAGGGCCGGGAGAAACCGGAATCCCGCAACTCCATCCACAACTTCATGGTCCACCCAGAGTTCCTCATCAATGACCTCATCCACAACATCCCGCTGATCGACGACACCGATGTGGATGACGAATCAGAACTCAGCAGATACCAGCACCTGCACCCGGCCCTCCGCAAGCCGCCCCCGCCTCCCACCCAGCCCCAACCCCCGCCTCGCACCCATCCCACCCGTCCCTACCGCCAGTACAGCCTCCCAGTGACCCCATGCAACCGAAACAACAACAACAACAGCAGCAGCAGCAGCAGCAGCAGCATTGATTCAATGGTCGCCTACAGCAACCGAAACAGCACCAACGCAGTCATCACCTACAACCGAAGCCCTCGTCATCACCACCACCACCTCCACCATAATCATCATGGCAGGGACAGGCCGGTGAAACCCTCAACCCCCTACCCGGCCCATCTCTACTGTGTGGAGACCTCCTTATAACTGATCTGAACTTGGGTTTGGGAGGGGGGGTGGAAAAAGGGGGGATGAAGTTAGGGTGAGAACAAGAGAGGGCTGAGGACACACACACATGACATTTTCATCTAATCGCCCTTTCAACAAGCTCACAAGAGGGAGCAAAGGACAAGGAGGGAGTGGACAATGGCCGGAGACTTCTGCTTACAACTCCCTGAGAACATGTTGCCACTTTCTCTCCCTTTGCCCTTACTCCAGCCCTCTCAGTCTGACTCCCCACCTTCACCCCAGTCCCTCCCCTCCTTTACCCACAAAACCATCCAACTCAGTCTGTCACCCCCTTCTTGTGGAACCCCACTCACCCTGCCCAGCTGCACACCGACTTCATGCACGCTCTTGTCACACACACCTGCAGGTCTGCTTTGGCAGGGTCTGGGGGGGGGGGGCAGACGTCCAGAAGAAAACCACACATTCCCTAATGCTTCAGCAGAACAAGGCCATGCGGCTATGGGGGCTGACTCACTCCATTTCTGTTGGTGTTCATCATTAATGTTGTTGTCACCCACTTTCCACCACCATTTATCTACCACCATTTATCTGGGTAGATTCTGCAGCCGCTTCAAAGTCACTACTTTGCTTGTAATATAAGTAAAACGCTTTGTTAAAGCTTTAACAGTCATTTCCATTTCCCATTCATTTATTTCCCAACATAATGGTGCTCATTTATTTCGTTCTTATATATCATTTTATTTCTTCTCAGAAACTTTGAGTTATTTTTCTTTCATCCCTCTTTCTCGTTCATTGTGTGTACGTGTATTGTCTTGTCTCTTCTGAAAAAAACAAACAAAAGCATAACAAAAAAAGGTTGCTGTTCATTTAAATACAATGGCTGCGACAATGTCTAAAAGATCAGGGCACTTATATCTATGTATCTGTCTATAGATACATAGATATAAATGTTTGGGAAGCAACAACACAGAACTCATTCATCACCTCACTTTGTCTTTGAATGCTGCCCCATTTGTTCACATGACCTGTTATCTGGAATATTGCTCTGAGATGAACAGTGTATGAGATGTCATGTTAATTTGGATATATTACTGTGTAAATTTCATTTCAAGCCTCCTGCCATATCCCCAGTATGCATGGGGAATATCTGCACCTGTCACCTTGGGCAACCTCCATGGCTGACATCCTCTTCCAGTCCCTTCATTTCTGTTCCGTGTCCCATCGTCTTCTCTCTTGCTGTTTCTCCTTTGCTCATTTTGTCGCATTACGTCCAAGAGTTTGTCGGTGCGTGTGTGTCAGCTTTTTTCTTTTTGGAAAAAAAGCTGAATGCTTGGGAAGCATTAACCCTTTAAATGCCATCAAACACGCAATGCACAGGCGAAGGCCCTTTAAGACTTAACGTGCACTCGGTTGGAAGCCCCTCCTGCTCACATGATCAGGTCGTCTCTGTTACGTAACCAGCGCCCTCTGCGCAGACAAAAAGATTGTGTCATTTTAACCTGCTCAGTGTCTCAACCACATGCCCGCGTCTAATGTCAGTGTTCACTTTTAGATATCAGGTACAACCAAGAAGAGCGTATTGTAAATGTTATTATGTCCTTGCGCATTCCCCTCCATTACTATGTACAGGTCATCGATTGGGATACCTTTAAGGATATAAGGCTATGTGTTTTAACTAGTTAGCTCCATTTAGCATAAAGAGCTAGCCTAACTTATTCAGAAACACCTGTAAAGCACTCCAATTACCACATGACATCTCCCTTTTAAATTTTTGAGTTATGCAATTTTGTTGCTTTTGTTTTGTGCCAGGGAAACAAGCAAAATCTTAGTTAAAGTCTGACAGCTTTTCATATTGGGGCGACTGTGGCTCAGGGGGTTGGGAAGTGTATCTGTAACCGGAAGGTCGCCAGGTCGATCCCCGGGCTCTCTGTCCTGGTCGTTGTGTCCTTGGGCAAGACACTTTACCCTACTGGTGTTGGCCAGAGGGGCTGATGGCGCAATATGGCAGTCTTGCTTCTGTCAGTCTGCCCCAGGGCAGCTGTGGCTACAACCGTAGCTACCTCCATAGTGGCATTGTAAAGCGCTTTGGGTGCCTTGAAAAGCGCTATATAAATCCAATCCATTATTATTGTCACAATACTATGAAAACATATGACACACAGATAAGGATCTGTAAATGCCATCCTAAATGCAGATATAACAATAGTAGTGAGTGAAGGCTGATAGTGTTTGATACAGGGGTTAAGCCTATACATTGATTGTTCTGTAACCTTTAAAAAACACAGGACACGTGCAGGTCAAAATCTCTTCTCTCTTGGCTGTCAAGAGACATCAAACTGCTACAAGAAAGAGCATCATTGTGGTGACAGTGGACTGTGCTGCAGGAGGATGTTTTAGACAGCAAACAAGAGGAACTGCTGCTGCTACACCACAAAGCTCACAGTCCCAATAATGGTCTCATAGTTGTTGACACATTATTTCCATTTATTTCCACTTTATGCTGTTTATGCAGGTCCAAGTCTCATTTATTAAATTATTTTAAAATTAAAACTGGATGCAATAAAGATTTCAGGGCTTAAAACATCCCCAGCCAGACTCTGGACAGCAGGCTCATGAAACAGGTAGTAAGTTTTCTTTGTGACACTAATCTAGATCTATTACAGTTTTTACAACAGAGCTTTCTCAAGGTTTGCTGTTGTGGTGCCTCATCATATAAAAGATGAAAGGGCATGGAATTTAAACTTGCTGCATTTCATTCACTTTTCAACACACATCCAGGAAATAAGGCCAAAGCCTCTGGTAACAAACACAAGTATCAACCAAGTCCTTTCCAGGTCATAGCCCTTAAAAACATAGCCAGCAACTACATTACTGTACATCTGTGGATCACACCATGGTGTGATGCAGTGCAGAAGGAGATATGACTCAACTTAATTTCAGTGTAAAAAAAATAGAACAGCTCACTAGTGTTTAAAAAACAAACAAACAATTAACCACAATTACCCATATAAAAAAAACATCTGGTTAGACATTGCAAACAGTGAAGTAAATGTAGGCTTGCTAAGCTGGAAACCAATCATCTAAACTTTGAGAATCCCTAAAAGAAATGGTTAGAAATAGAAGGATAAGTCATGGTTTTAGGAAGGTTTGTGTGCAGAGTGATTTATGGGTCAGGCTAAGTACACTTCTGTATTAAACCACATCTAACCTGTGAGCTTTATACGTGCTGCTAGAAGAACTGAACTGTTTCTAGTCTTTATGTCAAGCTAAGCTAAACTAAGCTAACTTCCTGCTGAACCCATGCCTTTATCTAACTCACTACAAGAAACCCAGTCAGCCACTTTGCCAGACATTATGTCTAAGCTGCCAACCTAAAAGGCCATAACACACTGCATGAGCACACAGCCCAACGAAAACAACAAAAGAAGAGAAAAAAAAAATCAGATATCCACCATAGTGATGACACCAGGGACATCACCTCCACCTTGACATTCCATGGAACATACATTCCAAACATCACATTCCAGAGCAGCTGTGAGAGCGCCCTCCTGTATCCCATATTGTACTAGGTGTGGGTGGACCGCTGACTTCATGTTGCCTCAGAGTGTGACACCTCAAAGCAATGCAAACTCCTGCTACCTCCCCTTTCTCTGCCCCTCCACCTCCCCTGCAGCTGACTTGTCCCCCCGCCAGACTAAGGCAAGGGCAGACGTTATGCAAAAGACTGCCATGTCGACAAACGCACCCAACCATTGGATTAAAACCACAGCGAGAGAACGCATCTGTCCTGCTAGTTCTGTTTCAGTAAGTGCGCAGGGCTTTCTGGGAACACCCTTACCTGTACAGAACTCTTGTCTTCTTGAATGCTCATCATCATCGTCACCACCTTAAACCGACCTGAGCTGGGTGGGGCAGGTGGTGACACTGTATTGGTCTGTCTGTTTTGAAGCATGCATTTGGTATCATTAATGTCACACTTTATGTGTTGGTAAGTCATTTAGGCTACTAATCTCTCCACATCTGCTCTCTTCCTCTCGCTCACTCTCTTTCTGTCTCTCACACACACAGACACACCCGCACGCATGCGCACATCCTGCTCAAGTCTCCTCTATTTCAGCACAGCTACATCAGCGCTTTTTTCTGTATGTATGAAAACACGCACACACCAGACTACAGGGCGATAATCTCAAGTGGTGTAAATTTGATTGTCCAGCCATCTCTGTCCATCTGTCCAGCCATGTTACATCATGATGTTGTGAGCCAGATTCACAAAAGACAAAACAATGTGAAGAAGAATATATTTATCAGAATTATTTATCAAAATTCTAAATTGTACAACTGCACCATTGTACAGATCGCCCAAATGTGCACATGTGGATCTTTGATTTACAGGTACTATGTTCCTGTTACACTTTTTTAAAAATGTTTCTTTCTTTTCTTTGAATTGCTTTTTGTAAAGAGAGGAACAACAAAATGGAAGCGCTTGTATTATATTGTTATTATTATGATTATTATTCTTGATTTTCTCCACCGGTGCTCCCACTGATGGAAAGACAGTTGCACATTCTCCTGAGCATATTCTGAGGGCTGTGTTTTCTGTCCAGTGAACAGCCCTTGAAGTGTGCTGAGGTGCAGAGATGCTTACAGTCTCTTAAGACCAGAGACACCACTCTATAAATAGAGAACAGGAGATACAAATGTACCTCATTATAGTCTGAAAGACTGGACAAAGTGGGGACCCAGAAGATGGAGAATCAGAAGGCGATGCAGAGCTAGAGACTGCAGAAGTGCAGTGCTTCCATGTGCTGTTTAGGCTGCTCTTTTAGATCTGCCACCAGTATTTACTGCCATGTTACCACAGGATCAAATGAAGGCTTTTACATTATTCATTATACATACTATTGTAAATATTATGTGTGGAATGGCCCCCCTTCTTGCACAAAGCAGTCCTGTTCTGCAGACAGAAAATGCAGCCTTAACTGTGCTGAAATTTAAAAAAAAATAAAAAAAAAAGACCAAAAAAAGAAAAAAAAAGAAAAAAAAACAAACCATGAAGACTATTGAATATATTAAAGAGTTACCTGCCTGTTATTTAAGCGAATAAATATCTATATATGAGAAAGAACACACCTGTATACTGTAGACTAAGTCTGTATGGAAATCTAAGAGAATTTAATGGGAATTAAGTCCAACACCTTTTGTCTGTATGAAAGAAAAAAAAATCAAAGTATTCTACAATAATAACTTTGACAAAGTTTGTGTGGTCCTGTTGTTTGTTCGCAATAATGCAGGAATGCCCTTCCATTTTTAAACCTCTGCACAAGGTGATGCATCATCCTGTCCCTCAAAGGTAACTAAAATCACCTGATGAACATCGAGGATTTATATCTGTGTGGGTTTCTTCATCAATGAACCTGACGCTTCAGCTACTTTCTTCAATAAACCTCTTG